CACTAAAAACAGTATTTAAGATGATTATAAAAGAACATGATTTCTTATAATGTTAAACATAGTTAGGACAGCTTGGCCCTATTTGCAAGACTGCTGAAATTGTCAGACCTACAGTGTCCAGTACACATGAGGGATTGGATGCTGGAGGGGAAATATTAGATTGTATGCCAAGGCCCAGGACAGGTAGTAGTAGCATAGTTGAGAACTGAATTTATTGTGTGGAACAGAGCTTTGGGATTATGGGAGTTTCTAGAAATATTTTGCCCTTTAAACTTTGACAGATTGTTGATAATTTGACAGACAACCTTTCATAAATAATTATAGTCCAACAGGGCTAACATGCCTTGAACCTGGCATAAGACTGCCAGACAAGATTCATCTGGCAGGACTTTATTAGTTACACAAGTGTCTTATGAGGCAGATGGGATTTGTTGCCTGATTTGCATACAGTCGAAATCAGACATGTTAATTGTTTGATTGATTTATTGATTTTCTTTGGTAATTATACAATAATGTCAGAATTCATATTTACCAAACAGACGCAAGTGTGGTATCAGTGACGACAGTTCAATTTTAACCAGTCAGCTTTGGATGTCAGTGAGCTGTTTAAGCATGTCTTCCTTTGAAACTTGGGTTGGCAGCCACTGAAATAGGCTTATCTAGAAGTCTGCAACCTGTAACGCTTATTCTCTGATAAAATGAGTGATGTGTCTAAACTCAGATCCTATGAGCTGGGCTGGCTGGCACATGGTGTGTGATTTAGCAAAAGCACCTACCAGGGAAGGGAGGAGGCTATTCTTTATCATAGCCATCACAACTGCCAGTACTGGCACCTCATTTATTCATAAGTGCTCTAATCTTTCTGATACAGTGACATCTGAATAAAAACATGATCACTCACTTGAACTATTAAAGGAGTGAATGTCTCCTGGCATTAATAAGCAGCAGTCCAACACTTGACCCAGTGGGAAAACATGGTTTGACCACACCATAAAACAACAAATTCTATTGTTGTCTATTGTTGCTAAATATTTCATTTTTTGTATGAACTTTTAATGGAGTTTTTGTTGTAGACTAATGTCACTTTTACACTGTTAATGATTATGCTATGTACTTAATGCTGAAGTTTTGCTTTATGATGTCTGGCACACACACAATTACGGATATATTGGAAAATATATTATTTTGACGTGTTCACAAATTACTTTTATCAGTTCTTTCTTTTGCACCAATCACTGCTAAGTCAAACAGTACAGCTGCTGGCTGCATCTTAACTTATTGGCTGATTTGGCTGAATTTTGGTTTATTATTACCAACAAAGATAATAACAGGGTATCAAAGATTACAGACCTGGCTTTAATCACAGTATCAAACCTTTTGTAAACACTGGCAGCTTAGTTTAACAGGATGCACAACCAGAGGGTAGTGCGTTCATACTTCAGGTAACAACAGGTTAATCATTGACAAGCACTCTATTGCTCTGCAGATAAATGCGCACATAAAAACCCCATAAACAAACCAGGTCATGTTTGTTTCAGGATATAAAAAATGACTTCTGTAGCTTGCAGGGTCTTGCTATTGAAAGTGAAACTCTTTCTCTCTCCCCCTGTCTTTCTCTTTGTCATACAAAAGGCTACAGCAGTTCAAGGTCACTGTGCAGGTTACTGCAGGCAGGGTTTGATTACATGTCTTCTGAAGAAAGACGTTAACAACCCTCAGGCATTTACCGACATATATGTAAGAGACGAAGCTTTCCCGCTCTTACCTGCAGATCCACACACCCACCATTTCTCTTGAGTTGAGGTAAGGTCTTCAAAAGCCAATAACATTTTATACCAATTGATTCAGATTTCAAACAGACTGTTCTACATTTGAGTGACTTAAGTGTATATGTGGTCTAAAGTGACAAGTTGTATTTAAAATAAATGCTTTACTTTACTTCTTTATATGTACTTAAGATATTTTATCTCCTACATATTTAGGAGGTGGAATACAATACAAGCCAAATTTTCAATTGGTGCAGACTGCAGTTTTTGCATGGTTCAAAGTGTTTTGTAAAAGTTTTAGTCTGTATCTTACACAAATTAATGGAAACAAATGAATTACAGATTAAAGGAAAAAACTGAATAAATTAGTGGCACAAAGGGTCACTGGTTGGTATAATGTAAAAAGTGAAATTCTGGATGTAAAGTGAAAGATAACTTTGTTGTTTATCAGAGTTCTTATGATTTAAAAAAAGTTTGTAGATTTAAGAGAGGTATTTTAAGTTAGGAAAAGATCCTACATGGCTGCAGTACAAATACAGAGGTCCTATGTCTGTTTATTTTTATTTTTTAAATTCATTTTCAGCCAATTTACTGTCATGCCATAGCTATTATATATTATAAATAATTAATTTCATAATAATTGCTACTGTAGATGATAGGGATTTTGCAAAAACTACAACAAACTTGAAAATAAATCCATGTTTTTGCAACACAAAGTAACTGGTTATTCCTACTCTGTGCTTGTCACTCTGTGACAGTGCTAGGTACATGTTAGTTTGATGGTAGTTTTACTGCTCCCACTCAGTGAAGAGTGATCTTTAGAGAATCCTTAAGTGTTTTTCCAGAGGGGATTTATAGATATTTCTTATTATATTCAAAACATACAGAACAAGTGATGAACTGTTTAATTAACCCAATTATTGAACACAATAACTGCAGGAATGTTGTGTAAAACATGCAATTTGGATGAATTTTATTTAAAGATTATTTCATTTGAATATCAAAGATTAGTTCTTCTAATATTTTTAGGAATTTATACAATCCTCTGTCTGTATTATTATTATTTTTAACAATCATGCATAATTCATAGTTTTTGACAAACAAATGTAGTGTTTTCTTCTCATTGCTCTATTAGCTCTTTGGTTGTTTTAGTTGTGTACTTTTCAAATACATGACAGGGCTGTTTATCAGAGATTGAAGGCTTTGTGAATATAGCAAGTGCTCAGAGCTTATATCTTAATGGTGAGATGTAGACCTACTGTATATACGTTTTCTTATACCCCTTAAAATCAAGAAGGCCTTGCGACTCCCTGTAAAACTTTGACAACCCATTCATTTGCATCTCTCAATTTTGTATGCAGAATTATTGGAAATGTCAAAATGGTTCTTAATCTGATTTTTCCTAACAGAGCCCAAACACTGCAACAATGCCTCCTCCCGGTGTGTGTTTGAACATCATGGAGGCTCGCCACAGGCAAGATGGTTATGGGAGCACCACCAACCCAAATTATTTCCTCAACCAAGACTACAATCAGTTAAAAGAGTACTGCATCATCAAAGGAGTAAGGTACATCGACGAGATGTTCCCCCCTGACAGGATCGCCATCGGCCAAGGGATACTGAGCCCTTCTGACCTGGCTCGTGTGGTGTGGCTGAGACCAGCGGTGAGTGTTTTGGAAGGGGTAAACCACTGAAAAGATCCTGTATCACACTAAATATTAATGTTTAATCAGGCATTACAATTTGTTATGAGATTAAAACCTACCATCTTTCAGTGATTCAGTGTTTAGCACTTTCAATTCACAATGAGGTTCTGTGTTCAGAAAAAAAAAAACGTTTTTTACGTAAAAACGTAACTTCGTCACTTTCCAGGATGTTTGGTGGGTCAGGATCTCAATCACTACACATTATAACAGCATCCATATGATTATAAAGTGTCCGAGGGTTTACATTGACAGGGGAGGAAATGGAAAACCTTCAAACGCTCTGCAGTGATTGGTTCTGTGTGGCTGATTGTTGCAATGCTAGCGAATCGAGAATCAGTTTATGAATAATTAAACGAGTATCTTTTTGTAAGTCCACAAGCGACGTTCACACCCTTAAACACACAGGCCAATGTTGAAACTCTCTCAGGTCAGTCTGATCCTGATCTGCAGAGATATTTGAGCCACACACACACACACACACACACACACACACACGCACACACACAGACAGACAGAGATTTCTTGCTTTATATAATGCTTTAGAAATATATTTATTTATGTATGTAAATAGTAATTAAGTCAGATGGATTATGTAAAGTTGTCAGTTAGTTAACACGTTCAGATCCAAACTAACCCTGTAGTTCAGTGTGTAGTTTAATGTGTAGTTCAGTGTTTAGTTCAATGTGTAGTTCAGTGTGTAGTTTAATGTGTAGTTCAGTGTGTAGTTCAGTGTGTAGTTCAGTGTGTAGTTCAGTGTGTAGTACAGTGTGTAGTTCAGTGTGTAGTTCAGTGTTTAGTTCAATGTAGTAAATCTGTATTTGTCTCTTTCAGTCGGTGTTGTGACAAGAAGAGCTGCGGGAATCGCAACGAGACGCCCTCTGACCCCGTCATCATCGACAGGTAGGAAGTCACCTGACCGCCCTCTGTCAGGACCCTGTCTCTCTCTCTCTCTGTCTCTCTGTCTGTCTCTCTCTCTCTCACACGCTTGTTCATCCACTGCCTCTGGAGTCGGGTTCAGGTTTGTCCGGCTCAGTCCAGGAATCATTTTACATTAGCTGGTTGAAGTTGTTGGTTTATATTTTACAGAAGATGATCTGACTGATAAAGAGCTGAAATGATGGAGAAAGAAGTTATTCGCTTTCTTGTTCAAGATCATAAACTCTTTAGTTTCTTTACAGTTTAAAGGAATCTGTGATTGAATATGACAGTGAGCCTGTCTGTAGAGGAGCTTTGTGGAGTTTAAATTGAATCATT